CGAGAGACTGTCTTGAGATAAGAAATTTTCGAGTATTTATAGGATAGGGTTGTTAGTAATTTTGATAGAATGTTCTAGAAGGAAAAGTAGTGAGAGAGAGGGTGAAGACACTAGTTTCTAGGAATACACAGAATTAGATAGTACAGAATTCAAGAGAAAGCAATTAAGGGTAAAACCAGATATTAGTATGGGAGTGCATGCAGGTATGGTTGAAGTTGGATTTCCAGGTAAAAGTGATTGAAAGAACAATAGAGTTTAGACTGAAAGGAAATATTACTTGAAATGAAATATTAATTGAAATGAAAAAAAAATAGAAAAAATATTTACACACAAAAACAAAACAATAACAGTTATTTCGCCATAAATATGTTTGTAATATTCCTCTAAACTCAGGTTATGAAAATTTTTCCTTCATCTGCGCTATATTTCTTCCTCCCATTTGAGCGATCGCAATTCTATTGAATTCATTTTTGGAAAATCATAAGATGCCGAGTGAAATCCAGAAAATTACATGTAAAAGCAATGTAAACTTGAAATTATTAGCCACAATAGAAATTATTATCATGTAAATAAAGGGGCATGCAGCATACAGCAGCATTATTTCCGACCAGCCCCGGATCTGGAGGGGGGGGCAAAGTCATAATATAATGTGGTTGAAAATAAAAAAATTACACCACAAAGTGCCTAGCATGCAGCACCCGTTGTTTTACCAATTATTCATTATGTTGCTTTTTAAGCATATCACAAGGGTTCATTTATTTCAAACTTTAGAATAGCATTAGCAAGTTTATGCCCCGCTTCGAAAAAATCCTTTCTAGTTCCGACTAACTTTCACCCTACTTGACTACACCTAAAACGACGTACAGGTCGACACAAATAGGAAGAATAGTGAATTGTTTCCGCCTATGGATGCGCGGTAAACTGAATGCTTGTGGAAGCTAGTGAAGCCACCAGCTCACAATTACTCCTGTTGGTTCTTGTTATTTATGTATTTTTATCATTTTTGCCATTGCTATTTGTTTTACTATTGTTGTTACGGTTTGCTTTCTTGAATTTACATGTGTTCTTCTTTTGTTTCACTACGAGCTGCAATGATTTCATTATTTGTACTCAATTATTTCAAAGTAGTCGACAATTTGGTTAACAATTCATGTGGGTCCCTTGTCCATGTTTGGAGGAGACGTGGGAGAAATCTTTCTTATTCTGCCGTCCTTCTTTCTCCGATTACATTCTTCGTCTAATTACCGCGCATAAAGATTGCTAAGTTCTTCCTATTCTTGTCAAATTGCAACCTGGAAAATACCACAAATGGCGTGGTGAGCGCCATTGTAGTACGATGCTACATTTTAGGATTACGTATGCTCCAGCAAGGTTCATTTCAAAATTTGGATATCTACTTGCTGAAACGAACCACGGCGTAGCTAACCTCATCTTGTCAAATTGCAACCTGGAAAATACCACAAATGGCGTGGTGAGCGCCATCTGTTGTACCATGCTACATTTTAGGATTACGTATGCTCCAGCAAGGTTCATTTCAAAATTTGGATATCTACTTGCTGAAACGAACCACGGCGTAGCTAACCTCAACGTGATAGGCACGTTACCATAATGGAATAAAATAATTCGAAGTGGTCTGTATTCTGTCGAAACTGCCAGTAAAAACTGGTACAAACTGTGCGGCGGACCTGATTCTACCTAATACCGAATAATATATTTTTGCCGCCTCCACGTTTCCGCTGCCCGGGGACCATAACCCCCTAAGAACCCCACACGCTTCGTCACTACCTTGAATCGTATTTTCATTACCTCTTGATAAAAACTAACTATCCTATATATAAAAAATTATTTAATATCCAAAATTGGAGAAGAAAAGTAAACTACAAACTTTTATGAAGGCAATAACTTTCAATGAAGTGAATTATGAAACAAAAATTTGGTCACGTTCATAACTACTTTGAAGCTTTATTCTACATGTTGAAATAATATTTAGTGTCTTTTGTTGGATAAATTATATGAGTACCAAGAAAACACTAATAATAACGAATAACAATTTATAACAATAACAACGAAAACACAAGTAACAAAAAGCACAAGGAGTGAAACAAACAAACGAGAACAAGGTAACAGAAAGAACAAGATAATACAACAATATCAATAACAATAATTAAGACAACAAAAATGAAAACAATGTAGCAAATAGCAATAGAATAATAAAAGCACTTACGAAAGGTGGTAGTAGCGGTAGACGAGAGACTGTCTTGAGATATGAAATTTGGGAGTATTTATAGGATAGGATTGTTAGTAATTTTGGTAGAATGTTCTAGAAGGAAAAGTAGTGAGAGAGAGGGTGAAGACACTAGTTTGTAGGAATACACAGAATTAGATAGTACAGAATTCAAGAGAAAGCAATTAAGGGTAAAACCAGATATTAGTATGGGAGTGCATGCAGGTATGGTTGAAGTTGGATTTCCAGGTAAAAGTGATTGAAAGAACAATAGAATTTAGATTGAAAGGAAACCAAAGTATTTACAAGATAAGAAGTTGAAAAGAATTGAAATAATATTTGAAGTGAAATAATATTCGAAATGAAATATTATTTGAAATGGAAAAACACAAAAACAAAACAATAACAGTTATTTCGCCACATATTTATTTGTTAGATTAGATTAAGTGTGATTGACGATGTTTATGATTACAGTCAACTTAAAGTAGTCCTTTATTCCTGTAATGTTGTCAACTTGTACGTATGTATGTAGTCAATTGATCTGATTAGAATTAAATTATTGTGTCAGCCATAAGATAAGTCAATGTAGAAAAGTACATAGTTGTTCCAATGACGTTTAGTACGGCAGAACATTGTGACATAATACTAATTTACGGGTAATGCAACGGTCATCGATATCCCCAGCGAATACTTCCTCACAACAAATCGTCTGAAATGAGGTACATACCTACAGAGATTATAACTGTACAATTTCATTTATTTTTGGTTCAAGTTTTATTTTATACGCCTGCGTCACCCTCTTATTACCTAAGTGGAGCGATTGCGCGAGTAGTTGGAGAGAGTGGATGTATAGTATAGGCACTAGTAAAATTAATTCATCTGGTTTATACTCGTTATTGCTAATGAAATGACACGAATGAATGCGAACACGTTGCGTGGTTGCACATGTAAAAATGCAATTGCCAAGATGGCTTACAAAAATCGATGATCCTGCATACACCCTATTCNTGAAACGAATCCCGGCGTAGCTAACCTCAACGTGATAGGCACGTTACCATAATCGAATAAAACAATTTGAAGTGGTCTGTATTCTGTCGAAACTGCCAGACGCGGATCGCGATTTCGATCTTTTTAGATCTCATCAGCGCGTCGCAGGCAGCTCCGACAGAACACAGACCAACCTTTACCTGCTGTCTTAACAGCGCGTTTTAGATGATGAGATCCAAAAAGATCGAAATCGCGATCCGCGTCTGGCAGTTTCGACAGAATACAGACCACTTCGAATTATTTTGTTAAACTGTAACCTATAATTTTTGGCCGTATTTTCTAGATTAGAACTAAGTTCAATCTATTGTTGTAATTACTTCATTGGTCATTAACGTAAGTACTTTTAGAACTGGTGCGTACATATTATGTCAATGACGTAAACGTAATCGTTCAATAATTTTACAGTACCTACAATTCTATGTGGTGACGACATTCATCCCCTCCCTTATACAAGAGTGGGAGTAATGGTAGATGTTTGATACTTTTTTATTGATATCAAAATTTGGCACGTATGATGTAGTACTATTTATAGAGGTAAAAGTTGATTTGTAGTCCTATTAATTTAGGGAATTTAGAGTTTGTTTTTTGAGACAATTAATTGTTTCGCTCAAAAATAATTCTTTCTTTTTACAATTAGTTCGATAGGGTATGACGTCAATAAGAAATTCCTCTTACACACCGAAGAAGTAATATATGTTATAAATTCAATTGTCCGTTAATTTTGTTAGTCTGAGAGTGCGCTGGTGCAATCGGGGGCGGGCCGCTCTTTGTAGGCGCGCTACTAAAACATTCGACATGAACGGTGCTTTTCATACTTACTTGCTATCTCGCAAGCGACCTACTAGATATTTTCCCTTATATTAAGAACACGGCGCACACTTCATCCCTTATCAGTTATTTTTGCACAACCGAAACGTTATCACCTTCTCAGTATTATTCTGACTAATAAATTGCGTTTGGACTAGTACTTGCCTACTGTTTTCGTCGATTGCTACTTCTCTTTTTGATTTTGTTGCACGATTATTTCACCGCCCGAGATTGGTTTCAAAAAATGAAGAACTCATGGTTGCCTGTGGTACTGTCGATTCTGGTACTTCTTGCAGCTGTCTATCCACAAGTGCACGCAGGACCTTATTTAGATGAGGGTAAGAAATTGTTGATCACATTTCCATAATAAACTTTGCCTTATTTAATGATTATTTTCAATCGCATGAATTAATAAAAGATTATACTTAAAATAACTTCAAACAATGTCCAAGTTTGAGTGGCTTTTTTTTGTATTTTGAAATTTGGAATCTTGAAAAGAAAAAGTTGATTTAGCTAAGTGACCACATCATGTTAGGTTTAGTTAAATAGCGCTTAAAAGTCTCTTAAAATTATTTTATTGTTTTTTTGATTTGTTAGGAGTTAGACAGTGGCAGTTTTTTAACGATTTTTTTTAAGAATACCTGAAAGTATTTGCAACATTGATTAAGTAATTAATTCATTAATTTATAAGCCAAATCTTATAAAAAAATTACAATGACTAGACTTTTTAAAAAGTTGTTCAAATTCTGAAACATAACAATCCCATAAAATTTTTAGAGTAAATCTTTTAATATCTGTACCTATAACCGTAAGGAATTGCGTTTGGTTGAAGTTCGACCAATTTCCTTTCTAATATCTATACGTTTTATGCTTATCACAGTCATAAAATTAATAAATAAGACAACCAACTTGCTTTTAACTATAAGAATTTATATCATTCATTATATAAATAAGCTAAGAACTATTGAGGACCTTAGATACTCCTGAAGGAGATTCAATAGGCCGAAACAATTGTAGGCAGTCTCAGCCTACGCTGGTTACGACATCGAGCTGAGGCAATTTTATTTTCGGAAAGAATGTAACAATAAATGGAAATTTTTTATGTTATCGTAAGTTAATTAAAAAGTCGATTAAATAAATATAAAAATTTCGCGGAGCTAAGTTTGCCTTACCGTCATTTCCGCTTCTTTCGTATTAAATTAAAAATGTTTAAAAAACGTGTTACTTAATACAGCATCCTCGCATCCCTTGACACTTACTCATTTGGATGCAAATTGCTTTAGATAATAATTACATTCATTATTATCCACGTTGCGAGCCGGAATATCTCATGAACGCCATTATTTTCCTGANAATAATTCGAAGTGGTTTGTATTTTGTCGAAACTGCCAAACGCGGATCGCGATTTCGATCTTTTTAGATCTCATCAGCGCGTCGCAGGCAGCTCCGACAGAACACAGACCAACCTTTACCTGCTGTCTTAACAGCGCGTTTTAGATGATGAGATCCAAAAAGATCGAAATCGCGATCCGCGTCTGGCAGTTTCGACAGAATACAGACCACTTCGAATTATTTTGTTAAACTGTAACCTATAATTTTTGGCCGTATTTTCTAGATTAGAACTAAGTTCAATCTATTGTTGTAATTACTTCATTGGTCATTAACGTAAGTACTTTTAGAACTGGTGCGTACATATTATGTCAATGACGTAAACGTAATCGTTCAATAATTTTACAGTACCTACAATTCTATGTGGTGACGACATTCATCCCCTCCCTTATACAAGAGTGGGAGTAATGGTAGATGTTTGATACTTTTTTATTGATATCAAAATTTGGCACGTATGATGTAGTACTATTTATAGAGGTAAAAGTTGATTTGTAGTCCTATTAATTTAGGGAATTTAGAGTTTGTTTTTTGAGACAATTAATTGTTTCGCTCAAAAATAATTCTTTCTTTTTACAATTAGTTCGATAGGGTATGACGTCAATAAGAAATTCCTCTTACACACCGAAGAAGTAATATATGTTATAAATTCAATTGTCCGTTAATTTTGTTAGTCTGAGAGTGCGCTGGTGCAATCGGGGGCGGGCCGCTCTTTGTAGGCGCGCTACTAAAACATTCGACATGAACGGTGCTTTTCATACTTACTTGCTATCTCGCAAGCGACCTACTAGATATTTTCCCTTATATTAAGAACACGGCGCACACTTCATCCCTTATCAGTTATTTTTGCACAACCGAAACGTTATCACCTTCTCAGTATTATTCTGACTAATAAATTGCGTTTGGACTAGTACTTGCCTACTGTTTTCGTCGATTGCTACTTCTCTTTTTGATTTTGTTGCACGATTATTTCACCGCCCGAGATTGGTTTCAAAAAATGAAGAACTCATGGTTGCCTGTGGTACTGTCGATTCTGGTACTTCTTGCAGCTGTCTATCCACAAGTGCACGCAGGACCTTATTTAGATGAGGGTAAGAAATTGTTGATCACATTTCCATAATAAACTTTGCCTTATTTAATGATTATTTTCAATCGCATGAATTAATAAAAGATTATACTTAAAATAACTTCAAACAATGTCCAAGTTTGAGTGGCTTTTTTTTGTATTTTGAAATTTGGAATCTTGAAAAGAAAAAGTTGATTTAGCTAAGTGACCACATCATGTTAGGTTTAGTTAAATAGCGCTTAAAAGTCTCTTAAAATTATTTTATTGTTTTTTTGATTTGTTAGGAGTTAGACAGTGGCAGTTTTTTAACGATTTTTTTTAAGAATACCTGAAAGTATTTGCAACATTGATTAAGTAATTAATTCATTAATTTATAAGCCAAATCTTATAAAAAAATTACAATGACTAGACTTTTTAAAAAGTTGTTCAAATTCTGAAACATAACAATCCCATAAAATTTTTAGAGTAAATCTTTTAATATCTGTACCTATAACCGTAAGGAATTGCGTTTGGTTGAAGTTCGACCAATTTCCTTTCTAATATCTATACGTTTTATGCTTATCACAGTCATAAAATTAATAAATAAGACAACCAACTTGCTTTTAACTATAAGAATTTATATCATTCATTATATAAATAAGCTAAGAACTATTGAGGACCTTAGATACTCCTGAAGGAGATTCAATAGGCCGAAACAATTGTAGGCAGTCTCAGCCTACGCTGGTTACGACATCGAGCTGAGGCAATTTTATTTTCGGAAAGAATGTAACAATAAATGGAAATTTTTTATGTTATCGTAAGTTAATTAAAAAGTCGATTAAATAAATATAAAAATTTCGCGGAGCTAAGTTTGCCTTACCGTCATTTCCGCTTCTTTCGTATTAAATTAAAAATGTTTAAAAAACGTGTTACTTAATACAGCATCCTCGCATCCCTTGACACTTACTCATTTGGATGCAAATTGCTTTAGATAATAATTACATTCATTATTATCCACGTTGCGAGCCGGAATATCTCATGAACGCCATTATTTTCCTGATTATGCATCGCATACATTTTCATTCTCTTTCGTGTGGAACAAAAGATTGTATCTGCCCAAATCCAGTCCCGCGGGCCGCGAATGAATTTTAAATAACCCGCGTGAACCAGCTTCAAAATTTTCCCCCATATGAAAGAGAATCCTAATATTGCCACCACAAACTGTAAAGTATTACAAAACTAAAATTAGATACTTATTGTAGTAGTTTGGGAGCAAATTCTAGAACTTTGAAAGTACTAAACAAAATTTACAAAATTTTTGTTATTCCTTTCATGATCAGCTTGACTTAAATATAATTAGTTATCCTGCCGATATTCAGTTGGAACATAGTGAACTGCGAAATAATTATCTACATATCTACTTGCTGAAACGAACCACGGCGTAGCTAACCTCAACGTGATAGGCACGTTACCATAATCGAATAAAACAATTTGAAGTGGTCTGTATTCTGTCGAAACTGCCAGACGCGGATCGCATTTCGATCTTTTTAGATCTCATCAGCGCGTCGCAGGCAGCTCCGACAGAACACAGACCAACCTTTACCTGCTGTCTTAACAGCGCGTTTTAGATNAATATAATTAGTTATCCTGCCGATATTCAGTTGGAACATAGTGAACTGCGAAATAATTATCTACAATAACAATAAAACACCTTTTTGCAAAAAAATATCTTCAAAGTTACAAACTTCTTCAGAAGAATTTGGAGATTATTTCTGGAAATTGTTGTAAAAGGTAGACTTTCCTACAATAACTGACCTGTATTTTCAATTTTTAAGAAGTTTTGGATCAACATTTGCTTTTGAAAAACTTTAAAATCTTATTTGCAAAATTAATATCGCATATCTCTAAGTAACATATGCATGGGGGGGGGGGACACAACGGATTAACCAACTGTTGTACTATGCATTTATAAATAAAAAATAATGATCAAACATTAATATTAAATCAACTGAATTTCATTCTATTATAGAGTACTTCAAGTTAATGAGGTAAATTTTTTGTCACACCCTCGCCGGGAATTGAACCCGAAAAACATCCTTAATACAATAGGTTAATTTTATTAGCATATTCAAATTCTCTTGTGTTTAGGTTTCGTCCACAAATTGTTTAGGTCAATAACATCGAAAAGATCTTTTTCGCTTTTTATCATCATTAGAATATCAAATCACTCTTCTTTAATGATGGACCTTATCGAATCTTTAACAATTTTAAGTAAACTAAATCTTTTTCGTTCGAAATCATTGAAAAGCTCGTTGTAAATATTAGGTATTCTACTAAAAATTTTGGCAATTCCTATTATGTTTATAATTACATCTTCCTAATGCCTTATTGAAAACCAATTACTTGGATTTATCGGGTTGTTCGGAAAGTCATTTCGTTTTTTCCCGACAGAAGATTTAATTGTATTCTTTTGCACCCAAGTTCACATTTAAGCCGTATAATTTTTATATGCTTTGAGAGCTCATATAGCAAGGCTTGTGTGTGAAAAATTCCAATTAATTCTACACAGTAGTTTTTGGTTGGTGCCCTTTTAAATATGGAGAGCGATAAGCAGCATTTTCGACATATCTTACTGTTTTACTACAGAAAGGGTAAAAATGCTGTTCAAGCCAGAAAGAAATTGACTGATGTGTATGGAGAAGGTGTGTTGACAGTACGCCAGTGCCAGAACTGGTTCGCTAAATTTCGATCCGGCAATTTTGATGTCGAAAATGCACCACGTTCGGGAAGGCCGGTTGAAGCGGATAAAGACGCGATAAAGGCATTAGTTGATGTGAACCGGCGAATAACAACACGTGAGATCGGATTGAGATTAAATTTATCAAATTCAACAGTTTATGACCACTTGAAAGGCCTGGGATTATCCTCGAAGCTCGATGTATGGGTTCCCCATGTTCTCACAGAGAGAAATCTGTGTCGCCGCATTGACGTCTGCGATTCGCTTCTCAAACGTCACGAAAATGATCCGTTTTTGAAGCGCATCATCACTGGGGACGAAAAATAGGTTGTATACAACGTCAAACTCAAGACGTCATGGAGCAAAAAAGATGAACCGGCTCAAACCATTTCCAAAGCCGATATTCACCAAAAAAAGGTGATGCTGTCTGTTTGGTGGGATTTTAAAGGAATCGTTTTTTTTTTGAGCCGGATAACACAACGATTAATTCGGAAGTCTACTGTCATCAGCTGGACAAACTGAATGATGCACTTCAACAGAAAAGGTCAGAACTAATCAACAGGAAAGGTGTAGTGTTTCACCAAGACAACGCGAGACCTCACACAAGTTTGGTCACTCGCCAAAAGCTTTTGCAGCTTGAATGGGATACAATGCTTCACCCACCATATTCTCCAGACCTGGCACCATCGGATTATTATTTGTTCCGGTCACTCCAAAATTTTTTAGACGGTAAAACCTTCACCTCAAATGAGGAGGTCAAAAACCTCCTCGATCAGTTTTTTGCCAGCAAAGACCAAAAATTTTATGAGCGTGGAATTATGCTACTACCAGAAAGATGGCAAAAGGTGTTGGACCAGAACGGTCAATATATAATTTAATAAAGTATTTGTTTATTATACGAAAACTGTCTTTCATTTCCACAAAAAAAAAAACGAAATGACTTTCCGAACAACCCTATAGATTTTTGTTACATAAATTTTGTTTATCCTTTTGGCAGGAAATGCCATTTATTTTGTTAAATTATTTTAATAAACGACAATAAAATTTCAAAATGATTTTTTTGATGCATAAAATAAGATTTTGAAAAGCACTGGGACCGTCAATGTGTCAGTAATTTTTAAATCCTCGATAACTGTTAAAAAAGTTAGATAGGCTTGGTCTATAGCATGCTGATGTTCTCTCGCTTTCCGTTGGAAAATTTTGTTTCGTTTGCTAAAATTTCCGACGCTGCACTACGATGCTTCGTGCTTTTTCGTAAATGAATTTAATTATTGGCAACGTGCGTGATGGTTAGGTACTTTTACTAATTTCTCCGGTTGTTAATGTTGTTGGTTTATTTAATACTCGCATGTTAAACGGATTTAAGTTCAATACGGGCTGTCTTTAAACTTGTTAGGTACACTGGAAGTAGAATTAACCATGCCACTGCAATTTCTGCTAATGGAAATGCCATGGTGAAACTAAAATAAACGGTGACAATGGGAAATACATTACATAAGTACCTTAGCGTGTTCCTGTATGGATTTAAAAGTAAAAGAAGAAAAAATGCATTTATCGTAGTTCAGCCGAAATGATTTTAAATAAAAGAAAATAAAAATATCGATTTTCAACGATTCTGGAATTTTTTTTTTTTGAGATGTCCTGTAAAGGGGCTCTTAAAACATAATAAACTAACATATTTTCATAGGAGATTCGAAAAAAATATTAGTTTTTTTTGGGTTACCCTAATACCTATATACGTATATTTTTATTAAAAATCTTCCTTCATAAAATCGACAGTAAACATCCCCTTCTCAGTAACGTAGGATACTTTGATACATTTATTAAAAGCGGTTTTCCCTTTTCGTTTATTACTTAAAATATTTTTGTGCTTTCTCTGCTTTGTTCTGTTTGGAGTTGAACAAGGGCCAATATATTATGTACATGGAATGATGTAATATTGGAGATTAACCCTAAAGCCTTGTAATATTAGCTTCATCTTTTTGTTTTTCATAGACTTACGTGACTCAACTTTTTGTCTTCAATAATTTCCTAAGTTGAGAAAACTTTTCAGTTTTGGTGTTAAACAAATTACTCTTAGAGTAAGTTTTTAACATTTTCCTTCCTAATTTTCCTATATTTTTAAATTTATTGTATTATTTTTAGGGTTCCGTATGTTCGAATGAAAAACGGAACCCTTATAGGATCACTCGCGTGTCTGTCTGTCTGTCTGTAACAGCCAAATTGATAGTTAGTACACATATGAATTTTTGTGACACAAATACGTAAATAAATTTTTGAACACGGGGGTCATTTTTGGAGTGGCCAATAGGGAATTAAAAAAAAGGCTATGAAAACTGTACCGTGTGACATATCAAACGAAACAGCTTGTTGTAAGGGTCTCAAATATGTATATCCGAATGAAAAACGGAACTATTACAGGTTCACTCGTGTGTCTGTCCCTTTTTTTACAAACTAGACCATTTTAAATAAAATAGGTTCGATGATAATAAATGTCGAAAACCATTTGTTGAATGACAAACAAGTAACCTTCAAGTTTTCTTTTTTTGGAACCGCTACACCCTATTGTATTTTTGTAAATTTGTTTCAGATGATTACGATCAACTCAGTGAACAGTATTCAGACAATACCTTAGACCGAATGCTACAACCTGCTCAAAAGTAAGTTGTCAATATATCTCACATTATTTTTGTAGCTAGATGAGGGGTTGATGTTACGCTTGTTACTTGTTTAAAATTAGTTGATAATAAAACAATACTTTTAAAAAACGAGATGTGATGTTAAAAATTTTATCTTATCCAATGTCAAGTTGTATTAAGTAAAGAAAGATGCATTCAAAAAAGGATTAATTTACTTTTAAATTCGATATTTACTATATATTTATGTTGTTAAAGTTGTTCATATATTTATTGATACCTAGTTGTTTTTTATGCCTATATCATGACCATCAAACATGACCCTAACGTTGACAGTTCATTGAGAGGGGCTCCTTTATTTATCCAAAATCAAGTTCGACATAACATAACTACCTGTAAATGTTCTAGCTATGTATAGTATAATGTAACAGCTGCCCATCAATATCCATCCTGTCAAAAAGCGTAGCATCTGCTCCCGTTAGATGTTCAGTAGAGTGGAAATGGCAGAAATAATTCAGTTATATAAAAGCTGTTATTTCAGCACCTTTAGAAAATTGCATGAAATGGTGGTATACGTATTTTGGTGTTTGAATGTATGAATTTGAAAACGTGGAAGAAAGAAAGTCGTTTAAAATGGGGCCCTCTGCTATTCTTATGATATAAACAATGCTCTGCAGATTTTAAAAGCAAAATTGAGTTTATAATGTTTACATATGAATGCACATCATGAATGCTTAGTAAGAAAACAGGCCAAGTACCTCGAGGTTCTAGGTACATATGTAAATAGTTTGTGTGTCTTGGGAATCGAGTCTTGAAGATTTTTCCCACTCTTTCCAAGAATGTTTTAAGTCTCCCTCCAAAATCTTTCTGCAAAAGTATAATTACAATATTATCATTAAAACATTGTTTTTTTTGCAATTGTAAATTTATGGTTTCCGGATTTTCCTTTTACTTGTGCTAAATTTCATGATTCTAAGGGGTTTTAGGTATTGATTCTCTTGCACGTGTTAAAATATGCGACATATCTAAGAGGCTGTATCTTTTGATTGCGCTGAATTAGAAGTTTGATTTTGTCACAGCTTCAAGGGATTGCAAACCTGAGTATTTGATATTAATTTCAATTTGATACCCCCACGCATTCCAGAGAAGAAGGATCTTGACAGACAGACGGTCGAACAACAATGCGATCCTAAGGGTTCTTTTGTTCCTCTTGAGATACGGGACTCTAAAAACTACGAAAGTTGTACAATTTTGTATTGATGTAACTGTAAACTAGAAAGAATGGATATATTTATGCCTAACTAAGTTTTAAACGTAATATTATCTGGATGTTGTCCATTGTCTTGTTGACATTCTTGAAATCTGGCTGGTACATTTTTGAAAACACGGTGACAAGTTGGATTTAGAATGGCAATGATTTTAAGCATAATTCTTCGCTTTAGTTAGTTTAATGCGATCGGATTATCTCTATAGAGCTTGGATTTCAAGTATCTCCATAGAAAATAGTCACCAGGAGTGAAATCCGAGCTCCATGGGGGTTGTTGAATGTCGTCTCTTCGTAAGATTAGTTCCTTCCAGGCAACATTTCTATTGACAGGATTATGAATACTGTGACTGTATGATAAGTTGTTCCATGTTTCTTAAATGAAGTCCAACAATTATATTCTTCTTTCTTGGCTCTCATCGTCGCTGCAACTGCTGTTCTCAAAAATGTATGACCCTACACTTTCTCATGCTTGTATACTGTCGCTTGTTGGTATATCAAATTTAAATTAACGATAACTTATTAATATGATTTGGTCATCTTACAGACTTTTACTGTTTATAAATATTATATTGTCGTTTCAACGGTTTCAACGTAACCCTCTTGTTGAAAATCCACGAACGAAGAACTAAAATTTTATTTCTTTTATTAATCACTAGCGACCCGCCCCAGCTTCGCACGGGTGCAATGCTGACACTAAATATATTTTTGTTTTGTTTAGATTATTATCATGAGAGGAAATCTTAAATAGACAACCCCTGAACACATTAAATATACTTCAGAATGTCTTTATATACAAAATTCACAGTTTTTTGTCATTAGACAATACAAACCGGCCTCCCGGTCGGTACCACCGCAACCGCTATGTTTGCATTATAAATCTGTAATCTGTGTAGGGCCATATTGATCTATATTAATGCACAATGTATTTAAGGTACTTAATTGGATAAGAATTAATGCCGTGTTGCTTAAAATCGTTTCGTAAATAAGCCATTATTTCTCATAAAAGGTAAAGAATAAAAATTGTTATTGTGGGTTATCCCTAAGAGATAGACATATAACATTCCGGACTTTTTTGTAGATCTATTTAAGATGTACAATACATTATTTTGATCTATCTCGTAGGGTTCAGCCAGCGTTCGCAATGTAAGCGCAAAAAAAATGTGTTTTACGACATCTCATTGGAAACCTCTAAAATTATCAGTGTTTCTTTACTATATTATGCATGTATTATAGATATAAACCTTCCTCTTGAATCACTCTATCCATTAAAAAAAACCGCATCAAAATCCGTTACGTAGTTTTAAAGATCTAAGCATACATAGGGACAGAGAGCGGGAAGCGACTTTGTTGTATACTTATATATAGTAATAATGGGACGTATGGACCCCATCAGTCGCACTTAGTCACTCGTTTTTCTCTGTGCTATCCTTAATTTAGTGTTTAACTAAAACAAAGCAATGGAAAATGTCGACCAAAGTAGTTCTTTTAATATACATCCCAATGAGAAGAACATAGCCGAGCTGTTTTAGATAAAACCGCAAATTGTTGCCAGTCGCTTGACAATTATTTTCATTCCCTTTGGAATTGTTCGGCAATTGGAAGACACCTAATCACCTACATGCATTCTAGTCTCGCAATTTAACTGGATAACTTAATTCTCAAGTTATCTATTACTTTACTACCTTCTTGTAGTTGTTGAGTCTATTTGTTGCGGAGAAAAGTTCTTCGTAATTAAGTTTGTACGGTGAAGTCCTTGCAAGTACATTGCCTTGGAAGATAATACTTAATTTCTACTAGTTGAAATTGAACGTGGCTTCCCTGAGATGGCACGCTGATGCACGTAGAGTATTAGATAACAGTAATAACTGACATCGTACAGAAGCTCTTGGTTTATAGAAACTTAAGTTCTATTATTTTTCTCGTGAAATAAATATAAAATCTAATCCATGCAGTTATATAAGGCTGCTCTTTCATTAATTAATGACATTATTCTGGCTTTTGATTTGAAACTGATTCATTTATAGAAGATTGGCAACTAAGGATGTTAACCACAAATAAAAAGCAAAAGTTTCTTCTTTCAACTTACTAACTAGATTAGACAGAATGCCTACTTTTACTTACGACAGAAGCTGTAGGGAATACCGTAAAGATAAAAAAGAGATGTCAGGTAGGAATTCCGATCCGACGGGACTTGAACCTTGACGAAACTCTTGTACAAACTAGAGTGGGTGAATCGGCTTGCGAGTTTCGATGATTTAGGGAGCCGGATCATAATGGAAGGGTTCTTAAAGAGAAACCAGACTAAGACAAGTCCCTGAAAGAGGGCAGCAGTTCTTTCAGTATTCAGGGTGGCAGAGATCACGAGGATCGGTATGGCACTCTGATGCACAATACTGCGATGTGGAAGGCAACGGGAAACCACCACATTATGATCCCGAGTA